CTCAGTGATGGGGGGGGGGCTTTCTGGCCCCTCCTTTTTTTAAAATTTAATACTTTTACATGCAGCTTGTGAGAGAACCTGTTGTTAAAATATTTGGATCCCACCACTGGATACAAGTAAGAAAAAGCTAGTTAAAAACTACAAAAGCTGAAATATAAAACTGATGCTTCCTGTAAATCTTACATGTTATGAATAAGTGATCTGTTAACAACAAAGAGTAAACCTAATGCATGTAAAATGTTTACAACTATTCATTCTTAAGTAAAAAACCTGAGCAGTAAAAAAATAGTAATCACATGGACAAGTACTTCCCATCCAAACACAGAACACTTACAAGTTTGCATTTAAGATTTTATGTATTCTATACATTAATACTTCAGACTTGTCTTTCAAGATCTTCTAACACACTTCCAAACCACATCATATTTTAATTTTTTGATCTAGGCAAGAACTTCTTCATCTGAAAGTCCAAGCCACAGACACCATACAGATTCTAATCACCTATGCTATCACTATTGCTTCCGATTTCTTTTCCACATGCTATAAACAGTGACAACTATTTAAAACTGTATAAAGTTCACACTTCTATTGTTTGCCTTTATTCTGAGTCTTCATGTGATTTTCATAATGTAACTATTACTTCTAATTTCTATGTATGTTTCCCTTACAGTGTATATAATGACATTAACTTTTAAAATTCACTACAAAATATTTTGTCCCACACTCACAGCTCTACACTCTCTCTAGTGTGCGTCTTTTCATGTTTTCTTAAGCTACTGTTACTTACAAATTCTTTGCGACATATTACACAACTGTATGGTTTTTCCCCAGTATGTATTCTTCCATGATCTTTTAAGTTATTACTCCTTTGAAATTTCTTGCCACACACTACACAACTGTATGGTTTCTCTACAGTATGTACAATCTCATGTTTTTTCAGGTAACTTTTACTTACAAAATCTTTTCCACACACTACACAGCTGTATGGTTTTGTCCCACTGTGTAATTTTTGGTGTATTTTTAGATTACTATTACTTCCAAATTCTTTTCCACAGATTCCACAACAATATGGTTTCTCACCAGTATGAACTCTCTGATGTGTTTTTAGGTCATCACTTCTTCCAAATTTTTTACCACACACTACACAACTGTATGGTTTCTCACCAGTGTGTATCCTCTCATGCTTTTTTACTTCACTATTTGTTCCAAAGTCTTTGCCACAAACTACACAACTGTATGGTTTCTCCCCAGTGTGTATTCTCTGATGTATTTTTAGGTTACAACTTCTTCCAAATTCTTTGCCACAGACAATACAACTGTATGGCTTCTCCCCAGTGTGTACTCTTTGATGTACTTTTAGTTTATAATTTATTCGGAATTCTTTGCCACACACTGCACAACTATATGGTTTCTCCATAGAGTGTATCTTCTCATGTTTCTTTAGATGACCTTTACTCACAAATTCTTTACCACACACTACACAACTGTATGGTTGTTCTCCAATGTGTATTCTCTCATGTATTTTTAGGTTCCTATTAACTTTGAATCTTTTTCCACAGATTCCACAACTGTATGGTTTCTCCCCAGAGTAGGGTATCTCCAACTGCTTTAGAATATTTTCTCTTGAAGTATTTTTACCAAGCATATCACCAGTGTTTGACATCTGCAACTTGTTGATTTTTGTATGAGAATCTTCTTGTGTTAAATCATGACAACCAAGAAACTGATTTCCACCACAGCTGTTCTTGTTAGTCTTTACATCTAAAATTCAAATTATGGATATAATTAATACAACAAATAAAAACATCTTTATTGAATATCATTAACTGTGAAAAAATAAAAAACATAAACAAATATAATTAATATGCTTGTATTATTATTTTCTCTACTATCTTCAAATTATTCTTTTGAATTTTTTATTCACAGAAAAAAAAAATTGTGATAAGAATAGCTTTTCACAACAGTCTTATAGAAATTGGAATACAAGTAAAAATAACCATACACTACTATGAAATACATGTAGCTTTCCCAAACTGTTAACCCAATGTTTTATATAACAAGTTTTGGTAAGTAACAAAAAACAGTTAATACATTAATCATGAAAATCAACCAGAATTCACCATATCCACAGATAGTGTTTTTACCTATTAAAATGAATTATATTACTGAAAAAACTACATGCTAAGAGATATGAAAGCCTAATTTTCTGAGACTGTATTATGTCAGTGTCAAATGACAGAAACACCTTATTTATAACATCAAACCATACATAAAAAATCAATAAATTTAGCATTTATTTTAGCCTATGGTGCATGGTTTCACACTATGTTGGTTGTTCAAAATATAACCGATGTAGTTTTAAAATATGCATTCCAGAACACAAAAGTATATTAGGCATTAGAAAAAGATATGCAAAAACTACTATAATTTATATGTCTCTCTAACTAAGCTGTAAATAGGTTAAACAATTCTGGTACTTCTTGGAGCAACATCTTTGTCTAAATAGGTCATGCTCTCTTGCAAACCATTAGGTTTTACCATTAAAATAAAACAATTAACTGATTTATGTACTTCAGAATTTTCTATCTGTTAATTATAAACATGCCCAATAGAAATATCAGAAAGAATTATAGACAATTTTTAAAAGACAGAGTGATATAGAAAAGAAGTATCCATGTGGGTTGATCAAAGAGTGATTTTTCTGAAAGTAAGACATTCAAATTTTATTTTCTAGCTTCTTAATATCTGTTCTTTGCATCTCTCAATGTTTGAATATATGAGACTTTTACAAGGGAAGAGAAAAACTATAAATGAGAAATAAGATTGCCAGCAAGTCAGGTGACTTATAGAAGTATAGACTGAGAATTTATTGAAATATGTTCTTTTGAAATTAAGAAATAAAACTTAGATAATGTAAAAATCTGAATCATAAACTTGATGACAAGTGTATTAAAATACACTGATAATAAAGTAGTTTAATTAAATTTTTGAATGTAAAATGGTCAAGACACACAAACTTTCACCCATTGGTATGGATAAAGTTATTGTCCTAACAATAAGGAGAAAGACAGATAAAGTTCTTAACCACACATCTCTAGCATGTTCATAATTAATATTTATAAAAAAATGAGTGAAAAATGTCTAAAAACAACTTGTACGAGTTGGACAGAGAAGATGAAATTCAACACATTCTCTCTTGGAAAGACCATTTCTCTTTGTTGGTTCCAACATAGTGACCAATCATAACACTAAACAATGGAAAGAAATTACTAAAAAAAATTCATAATTTCACAAGTTATTTCCTTTTCATTACTATGTGTTAAAGGATATCACTATCCATCTTGGACAAAGAAGAATGAAAGCATCCTTTAGAGAAAGGCTTGAAACTAGAATTGCTTGAATACAGAACAGTCCTAGTTTCCTCTTATTTATTTTGTTTGGTCTTCACTTTCAAGCTCACCACTATCTTTAAAAACATTACGCCATGCACTACCAATATTTGTCTGCCTCTTTCTAAAATTCTTACATTACTTGAATGCTGCATTAGCATATTTCCAGTTGAAAAATTGCATTTCTGAAAGCTTTACACTACTAACAGTCATGCATCTGTTTCTCTGTTTTGGTCAATGAGAAGGCTTCTTATCACTCCTAAATATGTTCTTCTTAAAGCACTCATTAGTTGTTGTAAGCTAAAGCATAAGGAGGTATTTATTGTCTACCATTCATTTAATATGTTACCAAAAATGGAAGTTTTAACATGCACAACTTTTATAATTTCTACATTTATGAACATTTGAATTGTGTGATAGTTGCATTTTATTTAGCAGTGTTAACCAGTAATTCATATTTATGAACTGTAGAATTGACACAAGTTTAAATTAATTTTCTACAGATTTCAGAAAGGGTAAATATAAAAGGTTGTTTTTGATTTAGAGAAGGTTTGATCTTTTATCTCAAAGGTTTTGTCTTTCGTACTTTGTCAAACAACATACAAGCACACTAAATTAAAAATCTGTCTCATTTGCTAAAATATTCCAGCTTCCATCCAAAGAACCCCCCCTTATCGATTCCCTCCTCCCATCATGGATACAGCTACTTTTTTGGTGTACCACAACTCCCAGGAGTCAGCTTATGCCCATGCACAGTGAAATGTCTGCAGTCACCTATCACAATAATGATACTGGTGAAACATGTCACAACCAAAAAGTTGTTTTCACCAGGGATATTAACTTCTATCTATCTCTACCATTTTTAAAGTGACAATCTAAATGATTATTGTAGTAGAAACTAAACAAAAACGAATTTCCAATATCATTCCCCATGAAGATTCTATTAACCTCAAACAGCACCATGTATAGTGATTTCTTGTTCTCAAAAGACAATAACATTTCAGAGCTAAAGAGAAACCAACTTCACAAGATGTACAACAGCTACTATTATTACCTCACATTTCAAACTCCTTAACATTAAGTACTGAACAAGGATATCTCAGCAATAAATGCTCAGTAGAAAGTGAGCATTGTAATGTACATTCAATAATAATAATAATAAATAAAAATTCTGTAGAATCACACAATACCAACGTCGTTTATAAAATAACATGCAATTACTGTCCAGAATTCTACATCAGATAAACAAGAAAATTGGAAACTAGATTCACCGAACAAAATAAAAAACCCTCCCATGTTTGCAACTAAAAAAACCACAGTATATGTATACACCTGGAAAAAAGTTAAGCACCCCCGTGTTGTTTTCAAGTGATTCAGATTCGACGTTCTTGTGACTGATTATAAATTACCTATT